AGCGTTCAAATTTGGTAGGAGTACAGGCGGCAGGATGGGAACACTTTTGTTGGGTGGCAGGACCGGGCTTCTACGTATTAATTGTTATGATCATGTGAAAAAGAATTAAACAATAGGGTAAACAATGAAAAATTACCACCCTTATCTTTCTTTAATTTCACTTGCTAAATAAACAAACAGCTACATAGGTGTGCAAAACACATAAATATTATGATACATCAAACATTACAATATCTAAGAATATATTGCTGAACCAATTTAAAAGGAAAGGTGTAACATATGAAAATTTAGAAATTTAACTCACCACACTGCAACTTTCGAGGGATTGCATGCTAATTGTGGGTTCTGACTGCATATAACTCTTCAAACCAAAGTCAGAGAGTGTTCTTATCATTGTGCAAGAACACACCAATGACTCAGTTCGAAGAAAATGCAATTCGAAATGGGTCACATTAGTACAAAATTTAATGTACATCGACTTTCACAGGGTTCCTGTAATAAAAAATATTTGCATGCAATATTTTTCGAGTGACGATCAAGTCACACTGGGAAGTATCTGGGAGGCGATTCGGAGCCGCCTCCAAAAACAAAGGTAGGACCGCTCGGGAGAGGCTGCTAAAATCTCAGGGCCAAAACAGGCTGCCCAAAAGGAGAAGGACTAAGATGGCGATCTGTACTTTCAACGCACGGACGCTTGCATCGGAAGCGTGTATAGAAGACCTGATGATGCAAGCTAGGAAGATCAAGTACGACGTCATCGGACTGACCGAGACGAGAAGGCATCGCCCGCTGCACGCTGTATTTGAGACTGGAGAGGAACTGTTCCTTGGAACATGCGATAGTAGAGGCGTCGGCGGCGTAGGTGTCCTCTTCAATACGCACTTGGCCATGAACATCGATTCGTACGAAAGCTTAACAACCCGAATCGGACGTTTGCGATTAAGAAGATGTGGCTCAATCCCAGCTCTAACCATCTTCGTTGCTTACGGAAGATGCGGCTCAATCCCAGCTCTAACCATTTTCGTTGCTTACGAACCAACATCGAGCTACGAAGAAGAGGAGTTGGAAGCGTTTTATATGGATCTGGAGAGGCTCTACAGAGAAGACCACACTTTCTTCAAGGTCATCGTCGGTGATTTTAACGCCAAGATCGGCCCCAGAAGAACGGCTGAAGAGCTTCACATCGGGACTCACGGAGTGGAATGGAATGAGCAGGGTGAAAGGCTGTCCGAGTTTATCATGACGACCCACACCATCCATGGTAACTCGCAGTTCCAGAAGCCCTCTCATTTAAGATGGACATGGGAGTCACCTGGTGGACAGTTCCATAATGAAATAGACCACATCATCTTCAATCGGAGATTTTGCCTGACCGACGTCGCTGTTGTTCCGAAGTTCTACACGGGATCGGACCATCGTCTCCTCCGCGCCAGATTCTGCTTT